TCACCTGTGAATAAAGATAGTTTTATTTTTTCCTTTCCAACTTAATGTCTTTATTTTTTTTTCTTGCCTAGTTGCTTTCACTAGAACTTCCAGTCCAATGCTGAATAGAAATTGAGAAAGCAGGAATCCTTGTTTTGTTCTTGATTTTATGGGGAAAGCTATCAGTTTTTGCCTATGGGTATAATAATAATGGTAGGTTTTTTATAAAAGCCATATATCAGATTGGGGCAGTTTTCTTCTATTTCTAATTTGTTGAGTATTGTTATCATAAGACTATGTTGAATTTTGTCAAATGATTTTTCTGCATCAATTGAGACAACCGTGAGGTTTTTTTTTCCTTCATCCTATTAATGTATATGACATTGTATTCAACATTATATATGTTGAATCATATATATTCTATATATATAGAATTACCCTTGTATCATTAGGATAAACCACATTAGCAATTTTATATAAAGGCTACTATGTCTGATATTAGTAAAGCCATCTCAGCTTTCTTTGGTTGTTAATTACATCCTTTCACTTTATATATTTTTGTCTGTGGATCTAAAGTGAGTCTCTTGTAGGATAGCATATACTTAGAACATGTTTAGTTTTTGCTTTTTAACCCATCCTACCAATATCTGTCTTTTAATTGGAGAATTTAATCTGTTTATTTAAAATAATTATTATTCAGAACAAACTTCTGCCATATTTTGTCTTCTTTATGTCTTATGTGTTTGTTCCTCAGTTTTTTCATTACTGCCTTCTTTTGTGTTTACTTGATTTTTTAATGGTGTTCTGCTTTTATTCCTATCTAATTTTCTCTTTTGTAATTTTTGAGTTATTTTCTTGGAAGTTTCATTTCAGATTACAATTAATTTCTTAAAATTTTAACCATCTACTTTGAATTAATATTACCTTACTTCAATAGTATATAAGAACTCCTATACAGCTCCATCACACCCACTTTGAGTTGATGTTGTCACAAATTACATCTTTATATACTGCGTGTCCATTAGTATAGATTTATAATTATTGTTTTATGCATTTATTTTAAATTATATTGCAAAAATAGTGGAGATACAAGCCAAAATTACAATGCTGGCTTTTGTATTCACCTATGTAGTTACCTTTCCAGTGCTCTTTATTTCTTCATATATTTTCAGGCTATTGTCTGGTGTCCTTTCATTCCTGCCTGAAGGAGTCCCTTTAGCATTTCTTATATGGCAATTCTACTAATGCTAAATTGCCTTAGCTTTTGTTATCTGGGAATGTCTTATTGTCTCCTTCATGGGAATATATTTAATCTTAATTATTTAATTTCTCCCTCATGAGGATTATTTGAAGGATATAGAGTTCTTGGTTGGCAGTTTGCTCTTCCATCTGTTTTTTTTTTTTTTTTTAATTTCTTTAATGTTTATTTTTTTGAGACAGAGACAGAGCATGAGTGGTGGAGGGGCAGAGAGAGAAGAAGGCACAGATTCTGAAGGAGGCTCCAGGCCCTGAGCTGTCAGCACAGAGTCCGATGTGGGGCTCGAACTCATGAACTGTGAGATCATGACCTAAGCGGAAGGTGGACACTTAACCAACTGAGACACCCAGGTGCCTCTCTTTCATCTGTTTTAAGTATGGCATCCCACTGACTTCTAGACTCCATGATTTCTGCTGAGAAATTGGGTGTAAGCTTATTGAGGATCCCTTATACATGAAGAGTCACTTTTCTTTGCTCTTTTTAAGATTCTCTTTCAACATTTAATTATAATGTGCCTGAGTATAGATCTCTTTGTTTTTCCGTTTGGGAGTTTATTGAGCTTCTCAGATATGCAGATTCATGACTTCTATCAAATTTGGGAAGTTTTTTGGCCATTATTTCTTCAAATATTTTTTGTTTCCCTTTATCTCTTTTTTCTCCTATCATTCTGAAATTCCCTGTGTATGTTGGTATGCTTGGTGGAGCCCCATAGGTCATTCAGGCTGTGCTCATTTTTCTTTATTTTTTTTTCTTTCTTCTCCTAAGACTAGATCATTTTAATTGATGTTTCTTTGAAGAATTGCAGATTCTTTCTTCTGCCTGCTCAAATCTGCCACTGATAATTCTAGTGAGTTTTTCCATTTCAGTTACTGTACTTTTAATCTCCAGAATTTATGTTTGGTTTCTTTTTATAATTCTTGTCTCTTTATTCATATTCTTTTTTTCATACACCATTCTGGTTTGCATTAGCTCTTTGCCTACAGTTTCCTTTAGCTTTATCAGAATGTTTAATACAATTAATCTAAAGTCTTCGGCTAATAAATACAATGTCTGTACTTCCACAGGGAGAGTTTCAGTTAATTTATTCTTCAAGTGGGCCATACTTCTTTATTTCTTTCTATCGTTTGTTATTTCTTTTGAGAACTGAACATTTTGAATATAATAATGTAATAACTCTGGAAATCAGATTCTTCTTGCTCCTTGGAATTTGTTTTTGTAGTTTGCTGTGAATACTCATTGTTTGTTTGCTTAGTAATGTTTCTAAACTATTTTTATAAAGTCTGTATTCTTTTTTTTTTTTTTTGAGACAGAGAGAGAAATAACATGAGCAGGGGAGGGGCAGAGAGAGAGGGAGACACAGAATCTGAAACAGGTTTGAGCTGTCAGCACAGAGCCGGACATGGGGCTTGAAGCCATGAACCATGAGATCATGACCTGACCTGAAGTTGGACGCCCAACCGACTGAGCCACCCAGGCACCCCTAAAGTCTGTATTCTTTGCCATGTATTAACTCAGAAGCTTTTGATCAGCAAGTGTCATGACAGAGATCTCCTTGAATACCTGAATTCCTCCCCCCTACCCTACCAGTCCATCAGAAGAAAACAAGAGAGAAAAGAAAAAGAAAGGAACAGACAAACAAAGGATAAAAAAACCTCTCCTGGTCTTTGTAGAGTGGGTCAGTGTTAAGGTATTCCTTTAATGCTTAACCAGGCTGTTTACATCTATGCCTTAGCCTTCACTTCCTGCTTGTACTCAGGCTGAGATCAGCCAGAGGAGAAAGCGTTGGATCTTTTCAAGTTCTTCCTGAGCATGCATCCTGCCCTAGGCATGCACATGACTTTGTAAAGTTCCCGGTATATACAAGCTTTTTTCTTTTTTTTTTTTCTTAAAATTTTTTAAACATTTATTCATCCTGAGAGACAGAGCATGAGTGGGGGAGGGGAAGAGACAGAGAGGGAGACACAGAATCTGAAACAGGCTCCAGGCTCTGAGCTGTCAGCCCAGAGCCCGATGTGGGGCCCGAACCAACACAGACCGTGAGATCATGACCTGAGCTGAAGTTGGACACTTAACTGACTGAGCCACCCAGGCAGCCCTACAATCCTTTCTCAATATCTTAATTTCCCAAACTCCCCCCCTAGCTTTTTCTCTCAGGCTTTCCGTGTGTTTCTTGTTTGACTCCATTGTATTCTTTTGCCTCTAAGAGAGATGAGTTGTTCATTTACTTTGCAATATTTGTGGAGAATGCAATATGCACAGCTGCTTTACCATCTAAGAGTTCTGAGGAAAAAAAAAAAAGAAAGAAAAGAAAAAAGACAAGTGCTCTGGGTCAGTCCTTCAGGTATTCCCAGGCAGGTTAAAACAGAGAAGCTAAATCCTTTGAGAATAAGGTCTGCTCTGCTCCCTCTGGAAACAAAGGCCAGGGTCTTAAACTGGGAAGGCAGACTGCTGCCTTTAAGACTATCACCACACAGGATCCATTCGTCCGTTGATGGACACTTAGGCTCTTTCCATGTTTTAACTATTGTTGAGAGTGCTGCTATGAACATTGTGGTTTATCTATACCATGGAATACTACATGGCAATGAGAAAAAATGAAATGTGGCCATGTGTAGCAACATGGATGGACCATGAGGGTGTTATGCTGAGCGAAATAAGTCAGGCAGAGGACAAATATCATATGTTTGCACGTATAGGAGGATTAGGAGGAACTTAACGGAGGACCAAGGGGGAGAAGAAGGGGGGAAATGGGGGAAAGGAGAGAGGCAAACCATGAGAGACTCTTGAATGCTGACAAAAACTGAGGACTGATGGATGTGGGGGGGAGGGGAGATGGGCATGGAGGAGGACACTTGTGGGGATGAGCACTGAGTGTTATGTGGAAACTAATTTGACAATAAACTATTTGTAAAAAAAAAAAAAAAAAAAAACCCTAAAAATAAAAACTTAAAAAAGTAAAAAAAAAAAAGACTATCACCACACAGGAAAGGGGAGTAGGGCAAGAGTGAGTAAGGGTGCCACAAAACTTTCCTATTAATTATAAGTTGCCCTTGGCTTGATTTAGCACTTGCTTAGAAGTTTTATTTTAATTTTTTCAAAGAATTAGCTTGTAGTTTTGCTGACTAACAAAAGCCATTAAAATTAATAACTTTCTTCTAATTATCTTTCTGGTCCTACCTCACAGATGTTTTGGCTATGCAGGGTAATGAATTTATGAATGTTGAAAGACAGTAAGTATAGTAAGGGGCACAGGCTCTAGAATCAGACTGTCTGAGGGTATTACTGTGTGCCATACTAGCTGAGTGAAGTTGGCCAAGTTAGCTAACTTCTCTTCGCTTGTTTCTGCCTCTAAAAATGGAGAGTAACAATAGTACCTACCTCATTGTGTTGTTGTAAGGATTAAACCAGCTAATAAATGCAGAAGGCCTAGAATAGTATCTGGCACATTTTAAATGTTATTAGTTATTGTTGTGCAATCAGTTTCCCTAAATGTTTGGTAAACATTTGAAGAGTACAAAATTCTATAATAGAGTTTCTATAAATATCAAAATTACAATTATGTTATCTAAACCATCTATATTTATATTTATTACTCACTATTTGTCAAGTTCTAAAAGCTGTAGACTACAGGACCTAGCTACTATTGTGATTTGGCCAATGTATTTCTATCTTTGCTTTGTATGTTTCAACATTTATTTGTTAACTGACGGACTCAAAGAAAGTTTATTAAAATATGTACTTTATCAAGCAGGATATAAATTACCTTTGTCTTCTTTTAGGATTTTTTCACACTGAACATCTTTATTCTTTGGTGCTCCATTAATAGTCTGCATCATCCTTTCAACATATAAGTCATTGCCTAACCTATTTCTACAAAGGGTCTCATAATTCTTGTTTTTCCGCCTACAAAAAAATATATTCAATTCATTAATAAAATTTATCTCTTTATATTATGCTTTCTATGTAAGATTACCTTCTTTAATGTGGATTTCACCAAACGTGAAGTGAGAGTTCAAAAAAGTCTGTACTTGGAACAGTACAGTGACTCAGTCAGTTAAGCATCTGACCTTGGTTCAGGTCATGATCTCAAAGTTTATGGGTTCGAGCCTGCTTCAGGTTCTGTGTCTCCCTCTCTCTCTGCCCCTCCCCCATATGCGCTCCATCTCCCCCCCCAAAATAAACAAATATTAAAAGAAAAGAAAGAAGAAAAGACAAGACCACACTAAACTACCTCCAAAGGACTCTACTTACTATACCTCCCAGAATTCCTACTACTTTCAGTGCCTATCAACGCTATGCTAACACTATCTCCACACAGGTTTTATGAACTTTGCTATAAACACTGAAAGCTATAAATTTCCTTCAGAGTACTACATTTGTGTCATCCTGTAGGCATGTGTTATTTTAATAATTATTTACTTCTGAGTGTTTCTTAAATTCCAATTATGATTTCTTCTCTGGTTCATGAGGAATTTAGAAAACATGCTTTTTAACCTCCAAATATGTATCTGAATGTGTGCCTGTGTTTTAACTGAGACTTATGTTATTAGTTATTAACTTAATTCCATTTGCGGTCAGAGAATTTAGTTTGTATGATACTATTTCCTTGAAATTTTTGAAACATAGCTTCATGGTCTTGTGTGTGGATGATTTTTATAAATATTCGGCATGTGCTTGAAAAGAGTGTGTATTCTCTAATTGTTGAATGCTGAGTTTTATATGTGATCACTAAATTAAGTCTTTGGTTCAAATTTTCTATATCTATGTGAATTTTTTATCTGGTTGACACGGAGTACTTAAGAGAGGCAAGTTTAACACTCCTCCTTAAGTAGGATATTTACCAAGTTTCTAATTTTTGCTTCATATCTGTTGAGGTTATTTTATTAGGAGTATTCAAGATTAAAATTATTACACCTTCCTATCATTATGAAGTGACCCTCTTTGTCCCTAGTAATGCTGTTGGTTTAATTATTTCTCTGTAGATGATTCTTTTTTCTTTTTTTTTCTTATGTTTTTAAAATATTTTGGGGATGCTTGGGTGGCTCAGTTGGCTAAGCATCCAACTTTAGCTCAGGTCATGATCTTATGGTTTGCAGGTTTGAGCCCTGCATTGAGCTCTCTGCTGTCAGCATGAAGCCTACTTTGGATCCTCTGTCCTCCTTTCTCTCTCTCTCTGCCCCTCCTCTACTTGCTCTCTGTCTCACAATAAATAAACATTAACAAAAAAAATTTTTTTAAATCTTCTTTTAATATTTGTTATTTGGAGTATCAGTATAATGCACTGAGTCTATTTCTTTTTTTTGTGGATTTCTTTTGATTTATTCATTTCTGTAAAATAGTGTCTTTTAATAGCTTGGGAACATCCTTACCTACTCTCTTTGAATAGTTCGTCTCCTCCATTCTTCGTATTTTGACATTTTGGAACTAACCAGATGCATGTTAGACCTTTATTCTATTGTCAATTTCTTTTTTTAACTTTCACACTGTATATCACATTTTTCTCTCCAAGGTTTATTTTGTATAACTTATCCAGATCTATGTTTCAATTTATTAAATCTGTCTGATTATGCCTGGTTTAAATTTAATGCTTAGTTTTTAACTTCAACAATTATATACACATACTTTATTTTAAAGTTCTTTTTAGATGTTTTTGCAAATATGAGCCATCATTCTGATAGTTTCTTGATGTTAGTGAGGTGTTAACACTAGCTTTTATTTAAATATTTCTTATATATTTTATATTCTATAGCTCATAAGAGTCCTGATAATATCTCATTATCCATAGTCCTCAGGGTGTAGATCTATGGTTTGTTATCTCTTTTAATTCTCATTCATAGTGGCTTTTTTATTGGTTTGGTATATTTTTTACCAAACTCAATCTGAGGGAATTTTAAGAGCCTACATGGGATATGCTTTCCTCCAGAGAAAATTCATGTTTGCTTATGATAATAGCTATGAAACCTGGGATCACTTGAGATAACTGAAATCCTTTTAAAGATTTTGCTTAATACGAAAATCTCTCTTTTAGTTCTCTCAATTTGCAGGGGTCCAAGACCTACTGGACTCTAGATCTATGTGCTAATTTTACCATTTGCTTCTAGCATCTCTCTGTCCCTGATTTCAGATCACCTATCTATCCATTTGTTATTTGCTCCTTTCCTTTTTCTGGTGTTAAGAGCTTTCGCTTATGTCTTAAGAATTTCAAAGTGTGTTATTTAGAATCTACATGTACTATATTTTATAGTCCAAATAATTCTAGGATATTTTATATTTGGATAAGAATAATATCCTAAAAATAGTTTAATGATGGATTTTGTAATACTATGGATCATATTCAAATTATATTTGAATCTAAATAATCTGAATAACTATATTAATAATCTATATATTTTTTATGTTTGAGAAAGAGAGCATAACCACAGGAGAGGGGCAGAGGAAAATAGAGGAAGAGAGGTAGAGGGAAAGGGAGAGAGAGAAAGAGAGAGAAAATGAGAATCTCAAGCAGGCTTCAGACCCAGCACCTGGGATCACAACCCCCCAAGCTGAAATGAAGAGTTGGACACTCAACTGACTGAACCATCCAGGCACCCCAATAATCTATTTATAGTACCTAAATTAATTCCAGACAGAGCAGACTTCAGAACAAGGCAAATTATCAGAGATATTGAGGGGCATTACATAATGATAAAGGGGTCAATTCTCCCAAAAAGGCATAACAACCCTTAATGTATATATGTCTAACAGCAGAGTTTCAAAATAAATGAGGCAAATACTAACAATCTAGTTAAATTCAAAATAAGGAGAAATGGAAAATCTACTCTAATAGTAAATTCAGTTTTCCAATAACATATTTATACTTCTTAAATTTTGAATATAAAAATGTCACGCCTCAAATGGATCAAGAAGATGTGGTTTATCTATACAATGGAATACTACATTCCATTGTATGATAAAGAATGAAATCTGACCATTTGTAGCAATGTGGATGGAACTTGAGGGTGTTATACTGAGCGAAATAAGTCAGGCAGAGAAGGACAGATACCATATGTTTGCACATATAGGTGTATTAGGAGGAACTTAATGGAGGACCATGAGGGAGGAAAAGGGGAAAAATCGATGGGGAGATGGAGGAAAGCAAACCATGAGAGACTCTTGAATGCTGAGAATAAACTGAGGGCTAATTGGGGTGGGAGACAGGGGAAGGGGGGTGACGGGCATGGAGGAGGGCACTTGCAGGGATGAGCACTGGGTGTTATATGGAAGCCAACTTGACAATAAACTATTTAAGAAAAAAAGTAACCAAAAAAATGTCAGGCCTTTCATTTTTATAAAATGTTTTATTTATTTTGAGGGAGGCAGAGAGAGAGGGAGAGAGAATCCCAAGCAGGCATCACACTGTCAGTGCAGAGCTCCATGTGGGGCTTGATCCCAGAAACCGTGAGATTATGGCCTGAGCCAAAATCAAGAGTCAATTGCTTAACCTACTGAGCCACCCAGGGGCCCCAGTCCTTTCTCTTTAAACTCGAAATAACTTATATATGCATAAAAAATATCATTAAAACCTAATTTGAGACTTTGAATCTTCCTTTATTTATTTTATTATTTGCTTTAGTAGTTTACCCACTTTTTACAGAATATGATAAACCTATGGGTTCTTCCTCTAGAAAAAAGTCCTTATGACATAAATAGTTTTCAAAAAAAAAGCTATAAATACTTTTCATATCATTTCACAGGACACATATATAACTTTATATATAACTTCACCAAGCATATATGCCATCAGTATTTACCCAGGAATCCCCCAAAACAGAAACAAGGATAGGAACCTCTGACTTAGCATTTAAATTACAGAAGCAATATAGACAATTGAGCCATACATACCTTACTTTCTCAGCTTCTTCAGACTCTATAGAAATCACGACTGTTGGTAGGTCAAAAAAGGTCAGTGTTTCCGTCTCTGTGAGTATTATCTCTATAGTCTTTTCTAGGTCTTCTTTGGTTACAAGTTTTCCAGGCGTTGCCCTCACAACTCGTAAATCTAAAATACATGACTTAATATAAATCATTTACTAATTGCTAATTTAATTATTATTTTACCAAAATATCATGATGGGTCATACATTGCAGGTGCCTTTTGTAGTCAAAGAACAGATTATATTGTGAGAGGGATTGAATCCCTCTGAGGCTGAGGAAGATTACAGTAATAATCTGATGCTCCTTGTCTATCTCTGAGAGGATGATCTTCCCTCCTGCAGCAGACACTGCTGATTGCCAAGTTTTCATTACTAAGGCTTTCTCCCTTCCCTTGCCTCTTTCCATTCAGAAAAGATGTTTAGATTTCTTAGCCTCTCTTGAAGCTAGGGGTCACCATGTGACAGAGTTCTGGCCAATGAGATAACAGCAGAAATATATAGGAAAGAAGAAGGCTCCTGGGAAAACTTTTATTTTCCTGATAAATAAAAGTGATATGATCGAAGCTACTGCCTTTCTCCTTCTTTCTGCTTTTAATGTGAATATAATACCCAGATCTGGGACAGATATTTTGAAACCATGAAGTAAGAAGGAAGAAGAAAAGACTTAAGGAAGGGGAATAGCAGAGCCATCAATCCAGAGTCTAACAGTTAAGCTACAAGAACCGATCCAAAAGCTCTCTACCTTTTAAGTTCTTTTAATGTGAATTAAATTAGTGATTATTTAAGCTAATGGTAGCTGGGTATTACTTGTCGTCAGAAGTATTTCTGTTACATTTCTTAACACCAAAGGGTCTATGAAGCACTTTTCCAACCTTATGAATATTTTCATTAATCCTTCATTATCATCTCAGAGGAAGAGACATCCTTACTGCAGTCCAAGGCAAACATTGCTCAAGTAGGTACCCATTTCATCCAGCATTTTTGATCATCCATTATTTCCCCATTTTATTACTTTTACTTTCATAATCCTTTACCTCATGTTTTATGTTCTGCTTCAAAGGAGTCACTCCTATTTGTTCTTCTGACAAATTACTAACCATCTTTAAAAACTCAATTCATAGGGCACCTGGGTGGCCCAGTCAGTTACGCGTCCGACTTTGGCTCAGTTCATGATCTCATGGTTCGTAGGCTTGAGCTCTGCGTCGGGCTCTGTGCTGACATCCAGCTCAGAGCCTGGAGCCTGTTCTGGATTTTGTGTGTCTCTCTCTCTCTGACCCGCCCCTGCTCACACAGTCTCTCTCTCAGAAATAAATAAAACACTTAAAAAAAACCCTCAATTCAAAAGTCAATAATTTTCTCTGTGAATTCTTTTTTTTCTCCCTCAAAGGTATTAATCTTTCCTTTCAAAGTGCTCCCATCATATTCTGCATATGTCCTATTACAGCACTGATCACAGTGTAACAGAATGACTTGTCTACTGAGTTAGAAGCAGAGCGCTTCTAAAAATATTTTTTAATGTTTATTTATCTTTGAGAGAGAGAGAGAGAGAGCTCAAGCAGGGGAGGGGCAGAAAGAGGGAGATGCAGAATCTGAAGCAGGCTCCAGGCTCTGAGTTGTCAGCACAGAGCCTGACATGGGGCTTGAACTCTTGAACTGTGAGATCATGACCTGAGCCAAAGTTGGAGGCTTAAACACCTGAGCCATGCAGGTGCCCCAGAAGGAAAGCACTTCTTTTTTTTTTTTAATTAATTTTTTAAAAATTTACATCCAAGTTAGTTAGCATATAGTGTAACATTGATTTCAAGAGTAGATTCCTTAATGCCCCTTACCCATTTAGCCCATCTTCTCTCCCACAATCCCTCCAGCAACGCTCTGCTTGTTCTCCATATTTCAGAGTCTCTTGTTTTGTCCCCCTCCCTGTTTTTATATTATTTGTGCTTCCCTTTCCTTTTGCTTACCTGTTTTGTATCTTAAAGTCCTCATATGAGTGAAGCCATATGATATTTGTCTTTCCCTAATTTCACTTAGCATAATACCCTCTAGTTCTATCCACGTAGTTGCCAATGGTAAGATTCATTCTTTTTGATTGCTGAGTAAAATTCCATATTTATATATATAATATATAGATTATATTTATATATATTATAAAATTATAATATATAAATATAAAATATTATAAATTTATTTATTATAAAATATTATAAAATTATATATATTATATATATATATATAATATATATATATCACATTTTCTAGAAGCAAAGCACTTCTAAAACAAAGCCTGTGATTCCTGAGGCTGGTGTTGCAAGAGACTCACCTTGGGAACATTAATACTACCCTGATCATTCTCATGTAGCTACCCCTCCGGCCAGCATTTAGAAATCATTACCATAGTTCTTTTATCTCAAGTATCTGACAAATAATAAGCATCAGAAATAAGGGACTGTTATTGAAATATTGGTCATTTTTTCATTACCTGTAAAACTAGTCAATTTTTCACGTTTATAGGATGGTTCTTCTAGGTCTTCTGCTATTGATTCAGTAGTAGATATACTTGACTTAGAAACTGTACTGCTTCCTAAAACTGACCTTTAATCATGAAAAACAACATTATTCATTTATTTAGATGTTCTTATGAGTAATGAAATACATGAACAAAAACAGTATCATATTGAGAAATCAAATACCCTATAGTCATATAAGAAAAATTGATAAAAATAAACTACTTTAAACATCAAGCTGATTTGTAATGTTCCTCAAGTAAAAAGTCATTATTTTTAAAAAGTCATTATAAATATATTTTAGGGATAAAACATGTCAAACCTATGTCCAAAGTCCTCTGGTGGACTCCCAATATATTTAGAATAAAAAGCTAATCTATTGCCTACCTATCTAGTCTCTCCATCTTCATTTATCACACTGCCCCCCCACCCTACCCTCTCTTTTAACTTCCTCTATCATTTGGCATTCTCTTACTTTAGAGTCTCAGCCTAGAATACTCCTTTCATTTTTCACTAATTTTCTGCTTGTCACTCAAATCTCATCTTAAATGTGGTTTATTCAATTTTATAAAGGCCCTGTGAAGATTTAATTAAGAGAAAATCTATGTACTGGTTGGAAAAGCAATACATTGAAGAATACAAAAATAATTTCTTTAAATATATAAACAACATAATTTCATATTATATACTTTCCCCCCCCTTTATACTTATAGGTACAACTGTCCTCAAGAAGGTAGGTACAGTGGGGGCGCCTGGGTGGCACAGTTGGTTAAGCATCCAACTTTGGTTCAGGTCATCATCTCACAGTTCATGGGTTTGAGCCCCACATTTGGCTCTGTGCTAGCAGCCTGGAGTCTAGAGTCTGCTTCAGATTCTGTGTGTCTGTGTCTCTCTCTGTGCTCTTCCCCTACTTGTGCTCTCTCTCTCAAAAACAAATAAATAATTTTTTTAAAAAAGGGTAGGTACAGTTTACTGGAATATTCTTTGTTTTACAGAGCATTTCTGTGGCTACTGTATGGAAATTTAGAGGCAGACTCTAGAATAGCATGTTTTCTCCTAAAATGTGCTTAGTGAACTTCTGGAACTTTTAATTGGTCAAAATGGAAAATTACACACTCAAATATTTCCCCGTAATCTTTATACTATTTTAGGACATACTGTTTAATTATTGCAATGATTCTTACTATAAACATTAATAAAATTTCACTTCACTTACATAAAGTGTCTACATAAAACATGCATAACATTTCATTTACAAAAATATTATAAAACAAAAGATAAATCAAACCATAGGAGAACAGGGATTTATATGGAAGACTGGGTGGGAGTAGAGCTACTTCTTCCTGTAAATTGTAGCATAAAAGAAACAGAAGAAATATGTCTGTGGGTATGTGATTAGCCCCATCTTTTGGTTCCTCAAGAAAACTTGTGTAAAACCCATATATTTTCTCACAAATGTTTGGTGTGAGTGTTGGAGAACTCTTGAGACTTACAAAGATCTACCTCTAAGTAAAACATGTGGGGAACACAGAGATGGCACACTAACACAAAGTGCAGTTGAGAGAATGAAGACAACTGACATCTAAGTTACATATATACAACTTAAATGAAAAGACAGCACATACGATATACATAAGAATAGTAGAATAGTATACTCTACCTTGTAAAGTGCCCTAACATACTAGGATTTAATGTATTCTGATAAAGGCTATAAGAAGATATAAGTTCTGATGGAAATGATCCTTCTTGTGATGTCAGTAGTTTATTCGGCTTTGCTGTACCCGTATGTGGATCTGGATGGTAAAGAGGTCGGGGAGTGACATCAACTCCCTGTGCATTAATTACCTGTAGAAAATCATTATTTAAAATGAAATAAGTAAAAAAAAAAAGGTGGTTTCTGAATAAATAGGCCCTAGAAAACAGAAAAAAAAGTGGTAGAAAAAAATAAGCATAATGTTTCTAGGTTGAAATAAGCATGAACAGTTGAATAAAAGATTTTATGCTTAAAAGGTTTCTTAACTAGGCCTATATTTCAAAACAGTCTTATTCATGTTTTTACCTACATATAAATAATATATATTAATTTCAAGGAAATTCAGAAAGGTAGAGAATTCATCCAGTCTGTTAATATTTTTGTATACTCAATTTTTATGTATAAGCTTTAAAAATCATTATTATTCATTCAACATTTTGTTAATAAATATGTCCCAATTTTTACATATTTCTGTTTGTTTTGCCTAATTCTTAACCTTTTCAATTATGAAATTTAATACATACAGAAATATAGGTCTTATATTCAGGTTTTTAATTCATTTTGAGTTAATTTTTGTGTGTGGTGTAAATGGTGGTCCAGATTAATTCTAGCTTTCCAGTTTTCCTAACTCTGTTTATTGAAGATACTGTTTTTTCCCCAACGTATACTTTGCTCTTTCATTGTAAGTTAATTGATTGTATATGTGTGAGTTTATTTCTGCGCTCTCTATTCAGGTCCATTGATCTATGTATCTGTTTTTGACCTACATGTTCATGTGCAAGTACCATACAGTTTTAATTACTATAGCTCTGTAATATAATTTGAAATCAGAGAGGGTGATGGCTCCAGCTTTATTCTTTTCTAACATTGCTTTAGCTATTTAGGGTCTTTGTTGTTCCATACAAAATTTAAGATTATTCTATTGTGTGAAAAATGCCATTGAAATTTTGATAGCAATTGTACTGAATCTGTGGATTGTTTTGGATAGTATGGACATTTTAACAATATTGATTCTTCCAATTAATAAACATGGAATATTTTTCCATGTATTTGTTTCTCTTACAATTTTTTTCATCAATGTCTTATTGTGCTCAATATACAGATCTTTTGACTCTATTAAATTTATTTCTAGGTTTTTTAAAAAAATTATTGTAATGTTTATTTATTTTTGAGAAGGACAAAGAGAGACAAAGCATAAGCGGAGGAGAGGCAGAACAAGACAGAATCTGAGCAGGCTCCAGGCTCTGAGCTGTCAGCATAGAGCCCAAAGCAAGGCTCAAACCCATGAACTGTGAGATCATGACCTGAGCTGAAGTCGGATACTTAGCTGACTAAGCCACCCAGGTGCCCCTACTTCTAGATATTTCATTTTTTTAGATGTAATTGTAAGATTGTTTTCTTAACTTCTCTTTCAGAGCACTGGATATTAATGTGTAGAAATGCATATATAGTATATATAGTAATTATCTTAGTCAGTTCAGGCTGTTATAACAAAGTACTATAGATTGGATGGCTTTCAGAGACTATTTTCTGAAGTCAATGATTGATACTTGTTCTCACTGCAAAATGCTCCTCCCAGTAGCCTTATCATTCTACTTTCTGTCTCTGAATTGGACTACTCTTGATATCTCATACAAGAGGAATCATACAGTATTTGCCCTTTTGTGACTAGCTTACTTCAATTAACATAAATATCTTCAAGGATCATCTATACTGTAGCATGTGTTTAATTTTAGCCATTCTAATAGGTGTACAGCAGTATCTCATGGTTTCAATTTGCATTTCCCTAATGACTAATGCTGATCATCATTTGATGTGCTCATTTGCTATCTGTATATGTACTTTATAGAAGTATTTGCTCAAGTGTTTTGCTCATTTTAAAAATTAGGTTGTCTTTTTTTTAATTTATTTTTTTAAAATGTTTTATTTATTTCTGAGAGAGAGAGACAGCTTGAGCAGGGAAGGGTCAGAGAGAGAAGGGGGACAGAGAATCCGAAGCAGGCTCCAGGCTCTGAGCTAGCTGTCAGCATAGAGCCTGACGCGGGGCTCAAACCCACGAACCGTGAGATCATGATCTGAGCTGAAGTCGGACACTCAACGGGCTGAGCCACCCAGGTGCCCCAAAAATTAGGTTGTCTTAATATTGTTTTGAAAATTATTTATATATTTTGGTTACAAATACTTTATCAGATATTTGCTTTATAAATAATTTTTCCATCTTTTTAGCAGTCTTTCAAAGACCAGAGCCTTTAATTTTGATGGAGTCCAATTTACCAATTTTATGTTTAATGGACTGTGTTTTTTGGGTCATATCTAAAAAAATCATTGCCTAGCCCATTCAGATTTATATATTACATACTTTTCTGTATATATATTATACTTAGATTAAAGGTTTCAAAAATTTAATTCTTTGTTAAGTGTTGTCTTCTTTTTAAATTTTCTTTTTAACATTTACTCATTTTTGAGAGAGAGAGAAAGACAGACAGACAGACAGACAGGGAGGACATGAGCAGGGGAGGGGTAGAGAGAGAGAGGGAGACACGGGATCCAAAGGAAGGCTCTGAGATGTCAGCAGAGCCCCGCGTGGGGCTCAAACTCATGAAACATGAGATCATGACCTGAGCTGAAGTCCTACGCTTAACCGACTGAGCCACCCAGGTGCCCCTTAGTTAAACATTTTCTAATGAGATAACCAATTTGTGATTATTTATTTTATATTTGGTAGAGTACATTATAAAGAAGAATGGATATTAGCTTTACTATCTAAATTATAGCTAGGTTAGCTATTATTAATATTATAATCAACTAGTTCTTAAGGTCATGAGTAGACTTTCCTCACTCCACTCTAATGTTCCTATTACTAGTAATGAATTATAGAAACCAACAGCCAATATTACACTGTAAGCTATGTCATGTGTCAAAGACTCTAACAAAATCAATGTATCAACATTAGAAGCGAGTTCATTATTTCAAAGCAGCATATTTTCTACTTTTAACATTTCAATCAAGTTCATTATGGTGCCACCTTCAAATAAACTCAGAATTCTAAAGAATATTACCTGTATGACTGTCTTTGAGGTGGAAATATTCATTTTTTCTGCCTTTACATCAGGTCCAATTATCATGGTTTTTGACATAGCCATTCTGCTTTGGTTTAAACCACTATATCCTTTTATTTGGGTTTTTTTTGCTGTGCTGATAAAGCTAATAGACTTCTTTGGCTGTTCGATAGTGCTCCTATATCAAGAAAAAACATAATATGAAGGATTCATGACTGAAGGAAAATTAACCAACAATAAAAAAGCAGACTTTCATTTAGAAACACGAAAACAATCTGAACATACGTACAAAAAGGGTCAACTATCACTTCCTATTTTTCCAGCTTATACACGCTCTGAATACCCCAATTCAAACAACTCTATTCAGCTCCCTTCAAATCCATTGTCACCTTCAAGCCCTTGATACTATCTACCATGTTTCCTTCCTCCCTTCCCTATCCCTCTCATGCAATCTCTTCTCTCCTGAGCTCAAAGATAATAAATATAATCCAGAGTTAATTATAGGCATACCTTGGAGATATTGCAGGTTCAGTTCCAGGCTACCACAATAAAGCAAGTATCACAATAAAGTGAGTAAAATGATTTTTTTTTTTTTTGGTTTCCCAGTGCATATAAAAGTTATGTTTACACTATAGTCTATGAAATGTGCAATACCATTATGTCTAAAAACACAATTACAAACCTTAATTAAAAAGTACTTTATGGGGCGCCTGGGTGGCTTAGTCGGTTAAGCGTCCGACTTTCCCTTAGGTCATGATTTCGCGGTTCGTGGGTTCGAGCCCCCCGTCGGGCTTTGTGCTGACTGCCAGCTCAGAGCCTGGAGCCTGTTTCAGTCTGTGACTCCCTCTCTCTCTGACCCTCCCCTGCTCACTCTGTCTCTCTCTCTCTCTCTCTCTCTCTCTCTCTCTCTCGCCTAGAAAAAAAAAAAAGTACTTTATTGCAGGGGCAGCTCAGGTGTTTAAGCTTCCAACTTTGGCTCTGGTCACGATCTCATGATTCATGAGTTCGAGTCCCACTTCAGGCTCTGTGCTGACAGCTCAGAGCCTGGAGTGTACTTCAGATCCTGTGTCTCCCTCTCTCTCTACCCCTACCCCGCTCACACTCTGTCTCTCTCTCTCAAAAATAAACATTAAAAAATTAAAAAAAAATACTTCATTGGGGCGCCTGGGTGGCTTAGTCGGTTAAGCGTCCGACTTTCGCTTAGGTCATTATCTCGTGGTTCATGGGTTCGAGGCCCGCGTCGGGCTCTGTGCTGACTGCCAGCTCGGAGCCTGAAGCCTGTTTCAGTCTGTGGCTCCCTCTCTCTCTGACCCTCCCCTGCTCACTCTCTCTCTCCTAGAAATAAATAAAAATATTTTAAAAAAAATACTTCATTGTTGAAAAACGTTAATTATCATCTGAGCTTTCAGTGAGTCATAATCACTGATACAGTTCATGATAAAAAATATAATAAAAAAGTTTGAAATATTGTAAGAATTACCAACATGTGACACAGAGCCACAAATTGAGCAAATGCTGTTTGAAAAATGGTGCCAATAGACTAGCTCAACACAGGATTGCCACAAACCTTCCGTCTGTAAAGTACACAGTGTCAACAGAGTGCCATGCAGTGAAGTGCAATAAAATGAGGGATGCCTGTATAAGCATCTTTACTTACATTCTCATCTTCCTTTTCCTTTTTTAAATTCACAGTATTTGCTTGGCAAAACCAAAACTTTGATCCATTCCAATGATCTTACATTGAGCCTGCACCTGCGTATCAACCATGTTTCTAGCTTCTGTAAACTTGATGCTTTACCATTTGCCATGCACGTATAGGCCCAATATGTCTTGATCTGGACCAACTGATATGCTCAAGTTACTATGCCTTGGTTTCCCACCCCTGGTCACCCCCTCCTCTCCCAGGGCCACAATTTTCCAATGCAAACCAGCCTATCCCCATCCACCTCTCTTACCAGCCTCTCACACTCTGGACCACTCTATACCTTCCCTAATCACCTTATAGCCAGGTACCAGACAACTTGGGATGGCCCCTAGGTTCCAGAACCCACTGAAACTATTCGAACTAATCCATCTTAAGCCTGCTCACCCTCACAATATCTCACCTCTTCCTTCGCACCTAAAGCACAACAGAGATGGGCCCATAGTTCCTCCCTTTCCCTCTGCCTGGTGGCTGACTCTACTGCTTCCCCATGTAGCCCCCTGTGGCATTGCCTGCCCTCTCCTCTTAGAAACTATGAGTAATAAACTATCTTTTCAATGGCAATCACTTCCTGATCTGTTTACCTTACTGTACTTCCAATTTTCTTTAATATACTATGTTTTAATTCAACCTGTACAGCTAAAAGAAGCTGGAGAAAAAACATCCAACCATGATGCCAAGTCTCACTGTAAATTATGGATTGTTGCTTTAAAGTGCGTCCTTAATGTGCCAGCAATCATACTGTATTTTTTTGGTTCACTTTTTACTATAACTTCTAAGGTCACTATTTTATACTTCTCTCTCCTTGAATATCAACATCTCTTCTCCCGTCTTTACTTTCAGCTTATTAAATGAGAAAACTGAGCTAATCAGGTAACTCTCAAATTTTGCCATGGTCACAACTATGCACCTGTCATATCTATGCCTACATTCTCTATTTTTCTCTTGTTACTCTGGGCAAATTACCTTTTATTCCAGCTTAGGTAAATTGCTCTACTCCTGTACTAGATTCCATTTCTTCCTGCCTATTCAAGAACATTGCTCTAGTAATTCTCTCATACATCATAAACTTTTCTCTCTCTATTGGATTATTCCTTTCAGCATGTAAACATGCTATTGCTTCTCCTATCTTAAAAAATTTCTCTTGACTTCATTTACCTCTCCAGGTAACATCCATTCATCTTTCCTTTAATTCTAGCAACTCCTTTGAAAGAATGATCTGTACTTATTGTTTCTTTTTTATTAATAAAGTATTTAATTAATTAATTAACGTATTCATTTATTTAAGAGGAGAGAGCATGTGTGAGTAGGGGAAAGGGGCAGAAGGAGAGAGAATCGTAAGCAGGCTCCATACTCTGTGCAGAGCCTGATACAGGACTTGATCCCACAACCCTGGGACCATGTCCTAGGCTGAAATCAATAGTAAAAAACTCAACTGACTGACTCACCCAGGTACCCCAATACTTTTGTTTCTAATCTCCCTCCATTTATACTCTCTTGAACCTGATCCAGTCAGGTTTTAGCCCTTATCATTCCACCAAAAGACCTCTTACCAAGGTCCAGTTACTTCCACAATATTAATGCCAAAGTTCTCATCTTACTTTCCAGCAGAATTTATGCTGCTCCTTCTTTGTTCTTTGACTTTTTTTTTTTTTTTAACCTGGATTGCAGGACACTTTCCTTGTCTGGTTTTCCTTCTACTTTTTCCGCAGCACCCCTCTTGGGCTCTTCCTATTTCTGTCTATACTCATAGCCTAGGTGAACTCATCCAATGCATGATTTAAAAATGATCTATATGATAATGACTTCCAAATATATATCTCTAACTGTACCTATATCCTCTGAACCCTAGACCTATATACCCACCGCCCTACTTGACATCTCAGACTCAAAATCAGCATGTCCAAAATTGAGCTTCTGACAATCTCGCCCTCACCCTGTCCAGCAAACCTACTTCTCTTTCAGTCTTCTCCCCTTTCTGTCAAAGATAACACCATTCTTTCAGTTGCTCAGGTGAAAAAACTTCAAAATATATCCCAAATCCAACCATTTTGTTATCATCCTGTTGCCACCATCCTGGTACAAATAACTATCCTATGTCTCTTGCATTGTTGCAGTAGCTAAGTCATCTTCTTGCTTAACCTCAATCCCCTACAGTCCATTCACCACATGGCAACCAGAGTGATCCTTTAAAACACAAGTTAGATAATAACACTACTCTGCTTACAACCCTCCATTTGTTTACCATCTCATTCCGAGTAAAAGCCCAAGTTCTTATTATGACCTAAAAAGTCCTACATGCACCCAGTTAGGTCTCTGACTTCATGTTCAATATTCTCTCCCTTGTATATTCTATCTAGTCACATTGGCATCCTTGATACTGCCAGGTGTATTTCCTTATCAGGACCTTTGTCCTTGCTATTCCCTTTACCTGAAATGCTCTCTCCAATAAATGTACATGTTTAGCATCCTTTCTTCCGGTCTTTACTTAAAACCACCTTGTTAGTGTGACCTTCCCTGGCTCCCCTACCTAAAATGTCAAATACTCCTCTCAAATATTTCATATCCCCTTGCTTTATTTTTCTCCCTAGGACTTATCCAACATAATGCATCTTTTACTTACCTATCTTATGAATCAGCTGTCTCCCCACTCCATAGAATTTAAGTTTCGTGAGGGTAAAAATTTGGGCCTGTTTTGTTCCCTGCTATATCCCCAATGCCTACAATAGTTCTCAACACACAGTAGCTGCTTAATGAATAATTGTTGAATAAATCATTATATCTAACTCAAAACATTGAATCTTCATACTCAGATGTTTACCAGCCTACTGAGTGGCTCTAGCTAAATATCTAGAAGACATCTCAAACTGAATAGATGCATAATGAATATCACCCTTACTCATAAACCAGTTCTTCTTTTATTCCCTGTAGGACCCCAATCGAAAGGACTTAGTGAATGATGTTACATCTATCAATTAGGTAGTCATTGAGATCTAATGAGAGCATTATCAGTGACCTCCCCAAATCTCCACACTCTTAAGTTTTATGGCAAGGAACCATGTTTATCATGTCCACAATTATAGCTCCAGCTCTTAGCACTCTGCCTGATGGATAGGCAATCAGAAAATACACACTACTTTTTGAAAGAAATTAAAAGTACCTGTAGCCAGTTATGTTAGAAATTTATGGTATAGGGCCACCTGGGTGGCTCAGTTGGTTTAAGTGTCTGACTTTGCCTCAGGTCATGGTCTCATGGTTCGTGAGTTCAAGCCCCACATCAGACTCTCTACTATCAGTGCGGATCCTACTTTGGATCCTCTGTCCCCTCTCTCACTCTACACACACCTCCCCTGCTTGCAAACACATGCGTGTTTTCTCTTTCTCTCAAAAATAAAAATAAACACGTAAAAAAAAAAAAGAAATTTGTGGCATATCTCTAACTACATTAGAAAATAGATGTTTTCAAATGAGGCAAA